AGAGCTGATAAATGCGCAGTCCAGTGGAGAAAACAGGATATGAAACGAGCAGTTGGTGTAACAATTTGTCCACCGCAGCTGAAAGCCCAAATACTGGGAGATAGGAGGAAGTGAGAAAAGATGTAAGATCCCGGGAAGTTGGCTCTGTTTACAAACTGTTGTACAAACAATGTGCAGCTGCTTGACGTATGTACAGTGTGGATCCTTTACAACGAGTCACTTTTAAACCAGGCCCTGTTGGGGGGTAGGGGAGGGAGGTGATTGACCTCCACCTATACAATTTTTGGTACAGCTTTTGCCGTTTTTTCGAATATTTTACCGAATTCAGAATTCAGCCCCATATCATATATGTACAGACAGCTCATTAGCTAGACAGGGTGAAACACCTTTATACATAGTTGTTAAAAAATGCAAACGGAGGAGGGTCAGGCAGCCAATACCGGAATGCATGCACACATTGCCCACGTATGAAATTGAAATAATGACTGACAAGCAGTACGTCGTTCGGTTTATATCTATCCGACCCCAGTCATCTGGCAACACATGTCGAAATGCGTCAGATCTGGCAACAGTTGACACCCCCCGTCAAGGTGGGCTGGGGTCGGTGGAAGGGGGGGGGGCTGAACAGTGTCGAACAGGCGGATCTGTAAAGGCTGTCTTGGTCGCTGAACAACATGCCTAATTTTTTTTTTTTTTTTTAATTAGAAAACTTCGGATTTCGATTCCTTATACACGGTTGTCAGTTTAAAATAAGCTTTTCCTCATAAAAGTTATGTGTAGTTTTCTTTGTATTTTGGAAAACCTGTAACTTGTTATCGATTTCTGGCGCTGCAGGAGAGGGGGGGGGGTGTATTTGCTTCCAATACCGCTCTGGATCAGCCCGTGTCTTCTCGCTTCCTACACCAAGCAAAGATAGGGCCGAATCTGCGGGACGAATGTTGGGTTGGTGGCACTATTTACCGGGGGTAACTGATTTTAGATTATAATAGATTTTCGACTAATGAAGGTGGGGGCTGACGGGGTGAGGTCATTTCGGTCACCATCTAGTTTTCACATGTGTTTGGGATCTCGCAGTTCCTTACCCCTATTAATATTTGACTATAGGTCTCCTTCGTTGAGGTAATGTTGTCCAGATTGCTTAGAATCTCAATCTATAACCGAAGGTTTGTTGTCAATAGTTAAAACACTATTCATTAGAATTGTGTTTTTCTATTGAAAAACAAATCTGAGTTCCCTGACAATTTGGCAAAAGCTGCCTGAAATCTATGCAGCTGTGTCCAATGACCAGTGTTTTTCACCTTTTCGTGTAGTGAAAAAGTCATAAATCAGATAACATGCGAGTTATTACCATTATGAGAGTTATGATCATTAAACGAAAAACAGCTTACATGAACATGTTACAATAATTAGAATTTAAACGAAATCATATGTCACTTACATAAATCTCAACGCATCGCTAACTAGGCACAAAATTTAAGACAAAATTAAAAACCGTTTTATATAATGCAAAGCGGCACGACTGCCAAAGGATAGCGGGAACGAGCTGACGCAAACCGGATCTGTGGGCTGCCGGTGACCCGGCCAAAGGTCACAGGTGTCACAGGAGGCACGTCACGAGGGTCCTGCTCAAAACTAGCGGACAGTGCTCGCGGTGCAGGAGCACGTGGGTGCATGTTGGTTTTGCTACAGCACAGATAACAGTAGTACTAGTAGTACTAGTACAGTAGTACCTGTACTTCTGTTATCTGTGGCTACAGGGATGTGCTTAGGGCTATGGATGACTAAACTTTATAGTGCCTGATAACAAGCAGTGACATAAACGATCAAGTATAATGGTTACCTACCTACTCTAAAACGCTTTATTTAATCATACGTTTTCGAGGATGAGCAAAATATTACCAGTAGAAATGAGAGATAAAAACTAGGATTGCATACATTCATGAAAACAGAATAGCCAAAATCCTCAGAAACGAACTTTACCCCAAGAAATAAAGTTTACCCGATACAAAACATAATAACGTTTGAATTATTGTTATGCCAATAGCCATCACTTGATTATCATCTAGCTACCAACGATCTGTTCACTTGCTACTATTTGTTACCATCTATCATTTTACGCTACAATCACTCCTAAGAGATAATGTCCGGCAACAAATGACTTTCTGGCCGTTGAGCGGAAGCCAGTAGACACCAAGGCGGCCCAGAAGCCCGGAGTATTAGCGGTTGGTCGCGATACGAGCAAGTGAGATATGACGGTCATTCGTCGACAGATTGTGGGCAGTTGCCTGGTCGGGACCTTATCTGACTGTCACATAAATTATAGAGACGAGCTTGGAAGTATTCAGGGCATTTCATGTCTGGCAAATGTTCGGCCTGAAATGGAAAGATGTGATGTTCACTGAGTGATGTGGAATTAGCAAATTAATAAGTGGATGCACAATAACACAGATCTCAAGCCAGATATAAGCATTAAGGGCGGTGCTAATAAAGCGCAAATATACCTTTAATAGGTAAAATACCTACTTATGCTGTCCCCACAAAATAGTACCAACAAAATGCCACCACTTTCTGAAGAAAAAAAAATCGAGATGATAAAACGCAATGATAGATGCTTAAACGATCTCAATGCCCTATAATTGAAATCAGCCACCAAACTTTCCAAAACTGCAAATTAGCTCCTTGGTAAACTAAATTGCTGCATCATCACATCATCCTCGGACACTATTGAAAATGACATCCATCAGTTGACTAAGAGCGTTTCGCTATTTTACTAATCCGACTAAGCCGATCGAAAGTCTAACATCACCATGTGAGCACGCCTTGCTTTGTGAACTGGACAATGATGCCTCCAGCATGCTATTCTGAGGTACGGGCAAGGTAGCTAGCTCACATATATTGTCAAATTTTGTAGTGTCTGTCAGATGAGATCATCCTAACGGAACGCCGAGTCTCTATTCAGCTGCCGTTCAACGAAGTCTGCTGCCGGGATCTACGTAAATGCTTACATACAGTTTACATAGATGTCATACACGCATGCCTTATGATGGAATGACGGGCGTGGGTATTGTGGTTTGACTCATACTTGAGAGAGAGGAGAGAGAGAGAGAGAGAGAGAGAGAGAGAGAGAGAGAGAGAGAGAGAGAGAGAGGGAGAGGGAGAGGGAGAGGGAGAGGGAGAGGGAGAGGGAGAGGGAGAGGGAGAGGGAGAGATAGAGACAGAGACAGAGACAGAGACAGAGACAGAGACAGAGACAGAGAGAGAGAGAGAGAGAGAGAGAGAGAGAGAGAGAGAGAGAGAGAGAGAGAGAGAGGAGAGAGAGAGAGAGAGAGAAAAAAAAAAAAAGAGAGAGGCTTCTGATAGCACAGTGGAGACGAGGACAAAGGTACAGCTCAAAGAAACTTCAATAGCTCTCATGCCCCTTGACTCGTATAGGTATACTCAATACTTAGCATACTGGAAGGTTGCGACATTCCCATATGGGCCCCATATGACCTCAGGTCACTTAGCACCGATAACACATTGCTTATTGCTGTATAATGCACCGCAGTATGCCATGTGTCATTTGGGTACCAAATCAATTTGTCATCACACAGTTGACGCCTGGTGATAATCACTACGTGACAGTTGATCTCCTCCAGACTCCATCCCATGATCGAGTGTCAAACAAGCACTGAGCACATTGAAATAAATGTTTTTATTCTGAGCAAAACTAAACTGAACGTTCCAAAGTCGTTAAGGTGATGATGTTTGGATATGAATGAGGCTATTGAATTATATTGGTTACATTAAACATGCATAGAGAAAATTTCACGGTAACCCGGCTCTACGTCCTTTTAATTTCATGGTAGATGACAGCGATTATAAAGCGAATACTCATACAATAAATGTTACGTGGTTTTGCGCAAAGAAAAACAAGCGGCAATGATTTTGGTTGCAATGGCCAAGAACCGCTTCACATACATGCAATGGTCTCAAAAGAAAGCCCTAAGTATGTCACACCAATGGGTAGCGCGCTGAGCGTATGCAATATTGCAAGAGGCTTGTGGACATCAAATAGAAAGTTAATATATCCCGGCAGTTGCTGGGGTATTTCGCCACCCACCGTTTGCTGGGGGGGGGGGGGGGCGTTAAACGCCCCCAGCCGATAACTCGAGAACCAATAGGCGCAGCGAAACGCACGAGGCGGCAAACGAAAGAACGCGACGAGACGCTTCAGATGAGTACTTTAAAGTTGAATTTTGAGGTCACAGGTCGGGTCAAGGTCAGGTCAAACACCTGAAATCGGGCTTTCAGTAGCATGGACTTCAGGACTTCGCAATGGGCGCCTCTCGTCATAAACTCTGTCAAAACGGTGCACAATCCATCATATAAGGCCTACAAGAGTGTCAGCTCCATGTAGGGGTCAGTCAAGCATAGGTCAGGGTCAAGGTCAGGTCAACCGGGTAGGCACATATCCCCGAAAATCAAAACTGATATTCGCAGCCTGTGACACATGTTTTATGGGTAATTTGGGGCGTAGAACACGATGGTGACATTCATTTTATCATATGTGTACGTGTTTGGCTAAAAAAGTTCAATTTAAGAAATGCATGAATCATGGTCGTGAAGTAGTCACGAGAAATTGCCAAGATTCAGTTCAAGATTTTGAAAAATTCGGAACGATAATCAATAATCGAAGATAGCCATGTGATTGCTCAAGGAATTGGCAGTCTAATGGCGTTTACGGCATGTCTGTATGTCTATTCTGTGATTTTATATGATTTTTTGAACATATGCCGTTTTTGGTCGAAAACTCAGAAATCATGACGTCACTAAAACCTCGATATCTCAAAAATTTTCCGACCGATTTTTTTGAAACTTTGTCACAATAAACTTGAATCAGTTTCCTACAGGTACCCAAAATTTGGCGCGCCTGCGGCGCGCCGTTTTTATGCTATGGCCCGGCGAAAAAAGTGGGGGCGTTTAACGCCCCCCCCCCCAGCAACTCGTCGTCGTCGTCGTCAGTCCCCCCGGTCCGCCGGGCGGACCGTAGCTCTTGGGCTCTGGAGGGATCTGGCGGCCCCCACCAGGGCCGCCACCACGTCTTCCCGTCTGGTCTCCTCGATAGCGGGGTGCAGCGTACCCAGGAGCCGGAAACGCCGCACCATCAAAGCAGGGCAGTGGAGCAGCAGGTGCTCAGACGTATCCGGCGCCTCGCCGCAGGCCAGGCACCAGCTCGCCCGGCAGCGCGGGTCCATGCACTGCTCGCACTGGGGCGACGGGCCACGGCCGATGCGGTGCAGGTATGCCGCCGAACCGGACCAGTGGCCCGCTCGCACCTGGTGGATGTCGATGGCGACCTCTCTCGGGTAGTCTCGCACCGGCGGTGGGAGGTGGCCGGCCATCAGCGAGCGGTACCAGCCCACAGGCCACTGAGCTAGGGCCCGCGAGCTGGCCGCCCTCGCCGCCGCACGGTGGACGGTCCGCACATCGACTGGTGCCTCCTCCTGGGGGAGTGCCGACGCCTCTCCGGCCAGGGCGTCAGCACGCTCATTGCCGGGAATGCCGCAGTGCGACGGGACCCACTGCAGGCGGAGCGGTCTCCCCCCGGAGGCAAGATCTGTCAGCAGCCTCCAGATCTCGGCTCCCATCGGCGACTCCTGCTCTGATGGACCCCCGCGGAGCTTCGCGAGTGCCGCCTGAGAATCGGTGCAGAGCACGATAGGGTCGCCGGTGTGTACTGGATGTTCGTGTAGGTGCCTTAGAGCTGCTCTGAGCGCCACCAGCTCAGCCCGGAAGCTGGAACATAGGCTGCCAGCTGCTTCCCGTAGCTCCACCGTCTCGTCGTCGGGATACACGATCAGGGCTCCAGCGCCTCCACTGCTGGTGCCACCCACGACGGAGCCGTCAGTCCAGACCCAGGTGGCGCACTGGGGCAGGCCCCCCAGGAATGTCTCCGCCGTTGACTTCTTCAGCTCCGCGCCCGCACCCACCGGAAGGCCGGGGCCGATGTCTAGACAGAAGGTGATATCACCTGTCTCGGCCCAGGGTGGGGGGCGGCGCGTCAGCGCCGGCTCGATCGGAGCCGTGACTCCGGCGGCCGCCCACACGGCCTGGCCGACGTCGCGCCAGCCGGTGACCGACGAGAGACGCCGGGCAACGACCGCGTCGGCGACGGCTCGGAGCGGGTCGGAGTCGGGGAGTGACCTCGCCTTGGCCAGGAAGCACGCCGCGAGAGCGTGGCGGCGCACCTCGACCGGCACCTGGCCGGCCTCCGCCGTGACTGCGTGTTTTCTCGTTGAGACGGGACAGCCGGTGACCACTCTAGAGATGGCTCGTACCTCTCTCTCGAGTACCTCCACGTGGGAGGGAGGCGTGGCAGGTAGCCAGGCGGCGGCGGCGTGTTCGAGCGGACCTCGCACGTAGCCGCTCGCCACCGCCCGGAGCTGCTCCTCCTCCAGTCCCCAGTTTCGGCCGGTGAGTTTTCGGAGTTGGGCGATGCGTGGGCGCGTCTTTCTTCGCAGCTCCTTGCAGTGGGCGCCGAAGTGGAGTGTGCGCTCCAGGGTCACTCCCAACAGCTTCAGGCTGTCCCCGGCGGACACAGCTTCCCCTGCCACACGAATGGAGCAGTCGGCCGCGTCTCTGGGGGACTGCGAGAGGACCAGGACTTGGGTTTTCTCGCCCGCCACTTGCATCTTGGCCCTTCCGGCCCAGTGAACGAGGGCGTCCGCTGCCATCTGCGCTCGCCGCCTTGCTGTCTCAATGTCATTACCCGCGCATAGCGTGGCCGTGTCGTCCGCGTACATAAACACGGTCGTGCTGGGTATCTCCTTGAGGGCCGCCACCAGCGGCGCCGCCCACAACAAAAACAAGGACGGCGCCAGGACACTTCCCTGTGGCAGGCCCGCGCGGAAGACGCGGTCGCGGCTCCTGCAGCCGTTCACGGTGACATGGGCCCGACGATCACGCAGGTAGGACCAGACCCAGCTGATCAGACAGAGCGGGATATCGCTGTCTCCAACAAGGCTAAATGATACCGCAGCAGATCCACCAAAACTCATACGCGGATGAGGCACACACGCTTCACTCGTTCTCATTTTCACAGTAGCTGAAGGGGCATATCCTTGCTTCAAGAACAATGATGACACACAGGTTTCACCTTCTTTCTCTCATTTTCACAGTAGCTGAGGAGGCATAGGTATCTTTGCTTCACACACAACTGAAGGCAATGATTCTGTCTCCCATCCCGAGCCGCTAGAGATGCTGTATCTTCTGATGTCTCTCCCTTGGAGGCGTCTCGCCGTTTCTGAAGAGGAAGGCGAACACTGCTGCGTAGTAGGTGATGTTGAACACTGCCCACATCATCGCCACGAAGCTGGAGACGAACATTGTCCACGCTCTCGGCTTCCCGCGAAACGTTGACGAATTTGACTTATTTTGATGTGCTCTGACAAGCAGATATCAAACCGTCAAACAGCGGCCAGTCATAAGCGATAAGTTTCACAGCTGAGGTTCAAGATTGTCGGTAGAAATGGAACTTCGTCCTTTGCTGAAGTAGACTAGAATCGTCAACTTCAATCGTTGATGATGTTAGTATGACAAGGCAGCTGGGTCTTCTTCCTCCCTCGAACGGTTCTTCCTTCGACGTAACCTTGGTGGTTGTCCTTCGCACGCAGTTTTCCACAGGAGTTAGGACGATAACACGCTGCACAGAAGTCAACGCCGGAAATCAAGTGTAATTCAGTACACTGTCCCTCCCGTAGTTTCTCGAGGGCAACGCGATCAAGACCTGCTTCCAGTTTGATTCTGCTCGTCTCTCAAGGACCCGGCACGAACCACACCTGAGTTCAGCCCTCACCGGCACACAAAGCCTTATTGAAGGGGGACACCCACAGACGTCAATCCTCCCCCACCCTGTAAGTACTTACCACAAGTGTGGACTAGAGGTGATTACGGTCAGAGCAGATGCACAGGTGTTAGTATTTAGTGTTACAGAGGGGTACCGCAATATCCCTGCCCCGTGGAAATCTCCCCACCCGTGGGGGAGGGTAGGTCTGTTGTACGTCTAATAAATATGGCGTATTTTAGGCAGGTAGCATGGAAGGATGAATATAGATTCTGAAAGGCCAGACAAGCCTTCACTCGGAAAAATCTCAAAAATGCGTTTATTTCTGCACTGAAGGTCAGTGAGATAAGCTTAATATTATGTATGTACAATGTTTGAGCAGTGAATACATATTTCAAACGTGCACTCATGTTTACCGTTCTTTGGGACACTGAATGATTTGACCAACAACGTAGTCAACAGCCGCATGCTTGACTACACGACCGTGCCGGAACAACATCAAAGAACCCCGATGAACAAAACTCATCAATAAAGACGGATCATCCCAATCATCATCCCCTGATTGCGGCAGCGCCCGTCGTTAGCACACTCTCATCCTTTTAACAGTCCCGGAGAATACCCGTAGCTAATCATCCTCCTACTAGCTCCAGTTCTGTGACGGCGCGCCCGCCCTGGCTGCCTGTCTCCTCCCAACGAGCCCCCGCCGCGAAACGTCAGATTTGTATGCATTAGCCGCCAGCTGGGACTGTGGGTGGGCAGTTGGAAACGGCAGGGGTTGAGGGGGAGGAGGGAGCGGTAGAGTGACCGATGTGTTTGGGGTGGAAGTGGAGCTGAGCAGAGATGGAATTGACACAAAAAGAGAGCGAGAGGTGAGGTGTGGTCAGAAAAGAGAAGCAGAGAACGGCGATTTAATAAAAACATTTACCCGAAAGAGAAGCAGAGAACGGCAATTTAATAAAAACCTTTATCCGTGGAGATATGCTTACACCTTACACCTCTTCGCGGTCCTCCGCTCAGATCGGTGATTCGCCACCCCATCAGCTATGGTCGAAAAGTATCCTTCGCCCAGCTCATTTACCACCGTATTCGGACCACTAAGAATTGACCCCCGAGTGGACGCTGTTTCTGAAGTGGAATCGGACTCAATTCCTGTCACGGATGCCAAGAAATCAGACCCATGTCCCACTGAGACTTTCATAGATTCACCCGATCGAAGATGATCCTCTAGGATGCTGGGGGTCATGGATCGTCTGCAATCGTATCCATACAGTCGTTCCCGTTCATTGCGTATGACGGACGGTGGTGTCCGCTTATCAATTCGGCAGTCAACCACCATATCGTATCTCTGTCGTCCCGTTCCGTTCCAGTGGTTCTCGTTCCGGCTTTGCCACAGCGTAGTTCCATCTCCCCATTTGTTGAATCGATGACGTGATAACGTTGGTATCAGATTGTGTTTAACATACCGCTGAGAATCGTAAGCCATTTGTCAAAGAAGCAAAATCAGTGGTGCGTACGAAAAACAATGCAACTGCTTAGTTTTAAATCATGATAAAAAGCAAACGCAAGAGGAGTTCTTACAACAAGCCAGCTTGATGAAAAGTACTAGCAGGCGTCAGTGCTACTCAATACTAAATGGCTTCGTAGTTTTTCAAGAAGACACGTGTCTCGTATTATCCAAGTCATTCCTGTGTGTTGTCGGCGCAGCTCGAGAGATCCGCGGATATGAAGGGGGTAGGGAGTCTTATATATTCACGAACAGATTCTATCACCGTGTCTGATAACGTGGCTCTCTCAAACGTCTAGCGATGTGCGTCCCGGCCGCGCTTACATTAAAACTTGAAGAGCTCGAGAAAATCCCCGCAGCTGCTGAAGTTTCAGAACTTTGCCTTGTTACGGAGCGAGCGAAGCGAGCGGAGTCTTACGTAGAATAACGGAAATTTCTGAGTATGAGCGGCCGGCCGGCCGGCCGGCCGGCCGGCCGGCCGGCCGTGGTCACGCTTTTGCGAGGCTTATATCTCAGCAACCACTTGACCGATTTACACGGGGTAATTTTTGTAGGGTAGCTTCATTCCTTCTACCAAGTATTGGACTATTCCCGATGCATGTGGGTGACCCCTTATGCACGTGCCACGCGCAAAACGAAGAGGTGTCCGTTTTGTAATTGTTGCAATATCTCGGTAACTACTTGGCCGATTGCGCTGAAAGTTGGCATGTAGGTAGGCACCCACTAGGCACTGCATATCCATGTGCCAGAGTTGGGGTGCTGCTGCACGTGCGCACGTGCAGGGGTCGTTTCCAGATCTCGAGAACGGCTGGACCGACGGCGCTCAAATTTGGTACACGGTTAGGGACCAGTTAGTAGGGTGCCGTGCACAAGTCAGTTGGGACCCATTCTGCACGTGCGCACGTGCAGGGTGCCGCTTCCAGATCTCGAGAACGGCTGGGCCGATTGTGCTCAAATTTGGCACATCGCTAGAGACCGGTTAGTAGGGTGCCGTGCACAAGTCAGTTGGAGGTACCCCCTCGAAATTTCGCACGTGCAAGGCTCACCCTCTCGCTCGCTCCGTTAGTCGCCCCAAAAGGCGCTATACTGGTTATGCAAAATTAGCGCGATATCTCGTCGGTAAGATGGTACAAAAGCGCGATTTTATGACATCGTCCTATGCATTAGTTATCGTCGCGGTGATGCTACGGTGTATCTGGTTAAAATGGCTGAGAGAAAGAGGTATAAGCATATGTGTCAGCTTTGTACAGATAAAACTTATTGATCTATCAGACTCTATGGATTGCTCACCATGGCAAATGTTTACAAAACATCTTCCTCAGTCTTTGCAAGCCATGCAAAGATACACCATAGGTGATTTACATGAACGGCTGTAAAACTAAACAGCTACATTAAAATGGAGTTTGGTCCCATGGAAGCTTTGACAGCGAACATGTAGGTGTTCAGGCGTAGCTGATCTCTTTAAGGTCAATATTTACGGTCATTGCTTTCAAACGAAAATTCTAATAAAACTATACAGCAAACAGCAATTGTAGTCAGAAGCTATCCTTACGTAAAATCCTCATGTATGTCAAATCCCTAAAGTCAATCAAATTTAATCAAACTGTCGCTAAAGTCATTGACATTTCCGCTTGTCAAAAGTCGTTACGCAATGGAGAATTAAGTGCGCTCAAGTCACACTCACTGTCACCGCGGTCAGGGACAGCTACGGATAATAAGGCTGAAAAAGTAGGCATATCTTGCATTGGCCTTGTTATATCGCCTAAATTAACAGAAAAAAACATTGATGTGTAGATTGCAAATGCCATTGGCGCCTACCATCTGTTCATTGGTTATGCTAGAAATGGGTGAATGTTACGTCTAAAGCAAAATATCTATGTTCCGTCAGCTGCCGACCGGCCAAACAAGGGTCAAAACCATCGCTGCCCCGTCCAATTCAGACATACTGCAGAGTGACCACAAATTATAGTGGGATTTAGTGGTCATTTGTTTTGCTGAACACCAGACAGCCAGATCCTTTCCTCTGCTGTTTATTGCCCAGTCTAGATGAGATACGCCGATAAAACGGACAATCTCGTTGCTCTTAGCAAACGGTTGTGCGGAGTTGGAGAAAATGGGTTTTAATTTTGCGAAACGAATTAGCTATGTAAATTGAAAGCATAGGGTTGCTTTTTGGGATAGCTGAAACAGCTCAATAATAGATCTACACATACGTAACTACCTAATCAGCATGTCACATGTCATAAGCGAAGTGATATGTCAACGGTTCACGGACTTTGCTACTAAAGCTCTCACTATCTTTTTGCTTTACCCCTTCCCAACGCCCTTTTGTCCTCACCATAGAC